TTCGAAGTCCAGAGATGCTGAGGAGTGAGAAGTTTTCCATATTTTGACCACTGCGGGGTATGACGATCACACGCCTGCTCCCAAGAGGCTGGCCAGGTTGTCCAGACGATAAACATTCTGAGCACAGTTGACATCACAAGGTCACATGATTCCATTCACCAGCTAGGTTATACTTCTGAAAGGTGGATGCAGTCTGTTGTAAGCGAGATTCGTTTTTCTTTTTCCTTTTAATTGCTAAATATTTTTTGACTTGTCATTTCTCTGTGCCTTGCCCTGGCTGAGAATACCCAGAGAGAAGGAAGAATACAGTGGAGATATCATAATGATGTCCTCTGTCTGTCCCCTTTGTTCTTTTTTTTTTTTTTTTTAAAGAGAGAGGGGGGGGAGAGAGAGAGAGAGAGAGAATTTTTAATATTTATTTTTTAGTTATTGGCAGACACAACATCTTTGTTTGTATGTGGTGCTGAGGATCGAACCTGGGCCGCACGCATGCCAGGCGAGCGTGCTACCGCTGAGCCACATCCCCAGCCCCCCCTTTGTTCTTTACTATTGTCCCTTTTCTCTGTTGATTTTGCTATACTCCCCAGCTCTGGGAACCTTTGTTCTCTCTGAATAACTGTCTTGCTTTTCTTCTCCTTTATTTGCCACTGAATATTTTTGTTTCTTCTTTTATCTTTTTGTTTTAGTTTCTAGTTTTTTGGTCTCCATTTTATTTATTGGTTTGTTCATTTGTTTTGGTTTGAGGTATATATTTAATTTTTTTTAAAATAACTTCAAATTTATATAATTTTTAAAGTCAAAATTGATATAAAGAGCATCTATAGATCCTCTCTATAGATTTTTCTCTTGCTAACATTTGGCCCTATTTGGTTTATCTTTTCCCTCCCTCTTCTTCCCCTCCCTACATATGTATGTGTACACATAATTTTTTTTTTCTGGAGTATTTGAAGGTAAGTTGTGAACATTATGTCCTTTTACCCCTAAATACTTTAATGTATTTTTTTTCCAAAGAATAGCTATTAGACATTGTTTGAATGGTTGGTGCTCTTTTCTGAATGTGACTAAAACACAAATGGACACCATTTTGTTCATTGTTTTAAGCCAATTTGCTGGTGAGACTATAGTTTCCAAGGAGGCAGGGCTGTCTCTTCTCTCTGCTTTGATTTATCATTTAATAACTTTGTGTACTGGTGGGATGTGGAGTAAGTTTGAAAGATGACTGTGAGACCTTGAAGATAAGCTGAAGTTACCCCATTCCATATTGTCACAACCTGTCCACTAGCTACTTAGCTGTGCTTTAAATCAGCTCCTGTCACAGTGGTGTGGCCTATGAAGGAACATAGCACCTTCAACTTCTGCATGGAGCCCAGAGTGGTCTTTTCATCTCTAAATGTTTGAAGGGCAGTGGGAGAACCTGGTTTTCTTTAATGTTTTTTACCTCCTGGCCTGATTTGGAATTTTAGAACACATTGGGATACAAATTGAAGTTGAGTATTTTGGCATTTTTGAGACTCTAGTAATTTCACTTGGGCCATCATGGTGTAAAGCAAGATCATGAGTTTATAAATTGGTATACATAACTCATAATCCCCTCCTCCATCAGCTACCTGGGTGATAGTGTACAAATGCACTGCTGCTTGACTTTTCCATTTTATTAATTTAGACTCTGAGTTGAAGTGGATGAATATCTTTCTGGCTAAAGTCTAGCAATTTACATACGTGTAAATAAATGTAAATAGCATCATGTGAATGATGTGTTTCACACCCAGGGGACTTAGAATTTCTTTCTGCCTTAACCAATCACATTTCTCTCACTATCAATTAGGAACTGGAGATATACTTAATGTAAAGGGTGCTCAAAATATTGGAGGGGGAAACTTGGGAAGTTAAATACCTCAGTGCTGTTGGTAGAGTTTTTAAAATATGGCTCTGTTTTGGCTTAGTTATTAAAGTGTCTGTGGGAATGTGGTCATTTTAGGGTTTATCACACTGCTAGTAGCAGGTCCTCTGTCTTGCATSTGCTGTTGATGGTGACCCATACAGCAGGTGACACTCTCAAAGTAGCTGGTCACTACGTAAAATGTGTCTTTCTCTCATTTGTTTCCCACCTGCTTTCCGAGCCCCTTTCTCGGACAGGTAAGATACTCTCTTTCTTGTGGATGACTTATGTCCCCAGATGCCCTCCTCAGCTGGGGTATATGCATGTTGGGGGTTGCTATTGGGAGGGCCACCAGCTGGGATTCTATTGTCTCTTCCTTCCATCRCCATTATTTTCAGAATCACCAAACCTCTTGTCCCGAGGCAGGAGGGACAGAGTTGCAGGGGTCATTAGAGTCATCAGCAGAAAAGAGGCTGATGACACGTCCCTCAGTTGTGGAGATGGAGGCCCCAGGCAAGCTCACTTGGAAAGAAGAACAGTTTCTCCTGGTCTGACTTCAAGAACCCTCACAGTGACTTTATAGAGGAGTTTCTGGGTGGTTTTTATAAGTGGAAACAGACTTATGAGCAGTTTCCATGTACTGTCAGCTCATCATGCACTTGGTTTTTAAGAATTAATTTAAAAGTCAACATCAATTAAACTGCCATTAAATGCCTGCTATCACACAAGGCCCTAAGCCAGGCATTGCAGAAAAWGAAAAGTGCTAAAGATACCATAGCCCCACGAAGAACTTACCATTTTATTTTAAAGACAGGTATATTTACCAGAAAGATTTAGACAATTGTAAAGAGAGTCTATGGCAGGTTATTTTTAAATCACTTAGGAATTCAGTTTTTTTTTTTGTAGACTAGATTTTGAAGGGTAGAGAACAAGAAAGACAGGGGATCCAAATGGTGCCTAATTAAAAAGTTATTTGCTTGTTATAAAGAAATATGTTTTTAAAATAATAATAGTAATTTATACATACTTTACTCATAATTCATAGTTTACAAATCACTCTGACAGGAGGTTTTCATACTTAAAAAAAAAAAATGAATGTGTCTTCTCTGGAATTTATTTTAAACCAAAAGGAAACCACCACAGAAAGTTCTGATCCTGGAAATGGTGCAGGGCCTGGAAATGGTGGAGGGCTTACTTTTCCCAGTATGTTCCACCGAAGCATTTTGTTGTGATTCCATAGTGACCCATATACTTTCTGGTTTGGAGGACAATAAATTGTTTAGTTTCCAAATAATCCTTGCTACATGGCAGAGTACAGGAGTAAGGGAAATGAGAGGGATTTGAGGCATGATAGGTGAATTGTGGTTATTCTCTGTAACCAGGAGTCAAGGGCCCAGCTTGTTGTGGGGTGAGTGGGTATTCCTGCTGCTGTGGCAGGTACACACAGACAGCTTGGGCCCTCCATCCCAGGGATGCCATAATCCAAGTTCCCTGGCATGCCCCCTACCCACAACGGTGCTTTCACTTGCACGTACACCAAGGGCAGTTACAGAGGTGAAGACCATGGGGCTCACATCCTCAGGGAAAGGTCTTCACCCCTCTTCCCATGGCTTTCTCCCTGCCACCCAAAGTCCCTTGGAATATGGCTTATCCAGATAGTTAGCCCTGCTGAAACCTCAAGAAAGAGAAATGTTCCCCCTGACCCAGGACTCTGTAGTACACAGGCAGAGAGAGAACTGCTTCAAGCCAATCTCCAACAGAAGCAAAACTACACTCAAACCTCAGTTATTATCAGAAAAGGCCTCATGGAGGTGTTAACAAGGAGAGTAGCTCTTGGACCAAATGGAACCTGTTCTTCTCCCAGACTGACAAAATATCTGGGGCAATTGATATGGACAACTCAGGTCCCAATTTCAGGGCTCCAGAGAGGGTCTGGCTGCCTTGACTACTGAGGTGGTTTTTTTGAGGTATGGAGAGGATGCCTAAGTGCCAGTGTATGGATAGCCTGGCCTAGAGCCTGAAGGTCCAGCCCTTTCAACAACAAACCTTGGGGCTACCATTTGGCCTTCCAAATTCTCCATCCATAACATATATTTTAGAAATTCAATTCAAAAATATTTATTGAGTACAAACTATATACTAGACCCAGTCTAGGCATTGAAGACAAAGATGGACGCTGCGTGGCCTCTGCCCTGCAAAAGTTCACAATGCAGTGGGTCTATACCCAGTCCTTCTAGTTCATTGTTCAAGCCAAAGGGAGATCCCCAAGAGAAGGGCCATCTACTAGGTATATGTAGGCAGCTGTTCCATGTTCCAAGGCAGGAAAAAGAGCCCTGAGCTCTGAGTTACAAGTTCTAGTTTCAGACTAACCATCAGCCAGCATTGTAATCTTGGGCCCTGCAGTTCATTATGAACTGAGCCCCYCCCTCATTTATAAATAGATATCTTCCCAAGTTCCCCACATTACACTGTAAGAATTGAGGTGGGGTTTATAAGGATCCTTGAGCTTTACTGCCACTGAGTACCTGTCCCTTTGGTGTGAGCTGGTTCTGATCTACTACTTGACCTCTCTGCTCAGGTGCTGACCTAGTCTTCCAAGACCTAAGGAACTGCTGGCCCATTTTCCGTGGAGAAAATGTGCTAAACATATGGCTTTCAGAAGGGAACATCCAGCACCAAGCCTCGTACTTGCCATCCCTCCACCGGCTTCCGTCCCAGCACCTGAGTCAGAGAGCTCAGCATGTGTTTGTGGCAACGTAAACATGTCACATTTTGTTGCTTCATTCTCATTTTTTTGTTCACTTCAAAGGGCCTGGTGACCCCCAAGGTAGAGGGATCAAACCTTGAGTCAAAGAGGTTTATTTAAAGGAATGTTTGCCTTTTTATGGCTAATGAGTCACTGATTAACTTGGGTAGGACAGAACTGGAATTTCTGGTCCTAGGTCCCATCAAGAAAACTGTACTGGAAAGTCCAAGAGCATCTTTGCTGGCTATTTCTTGTATGTTTCTGAAGCCTTATGGAGTGACAAGTTTGGGGCCTGGTATAAAGCAAGTAAAAGCCCAGTGGTATGGTCCTGCTCGCGTCTACTCATCAATTTCTTTCTCCCCTCTTTGTTCCTAGTTGACCACAGCATGTTTGAGAATTTGAACACAGCCCTCACTCCGAAGCTCCAGTCGAGCCGTTCCTTCCCCCACCTGTCCAGACCTGTGGCCCCCAGCTCTGCCACCCTTGGCTCTTCAGAGCCTGGTGGGCCAGGAGTGAGGGTGGGGAGCAGCCAGCACCTCAAGAACCTAGGCAAAGCCGTGGGGGCCAAAGTCAACGACCTCCTGAGGAGAAAGGAGCCCTCGGGCCTCAGCAGCGTGGGTGTGACGGAGATCAACAAGACTGCGGGGGCTCAGCTGGCTGGTGGGGCTGATGGGACATCAGGGGCCTGGCTAGAGGATGAAAGGTGAGTCCCTCCACCTGCCCAGTAGTCCACTTGAATGGGTGGGGACAAGGACAGACTGCAGTGTGTCAGGGGAGAACCGCACTGAGGAAGGGATATGAAATTGTCAAAAGCTGGGCTGGGCCATGTTCATGGGGACTGGCCTCCACCTCCACACGTCTAGGAATGCTTATTGAGCAGCCATGGTGGCCTCAAGCACTGCATATGCAGACTTTACAGCATCGTTCTATCTAACCCTYGCAGAACTCAGGGAGGTAGGTTAGGTTTTCACTTTGCCAATGACTTGAGTTCAGAATGGTCAGGTGAGTAGCTGGTTAGTCAGCACCTGGCAGAGGTAGATTTGAACCCAAGTATTACCCAGCACCTTCCCAGACGGATTCTGATGCCTGAGAACCACAGGAAAGGAGAAGTCCCCTGTGGCACTCCCATTCTTCTACTCTAACCAAGAGGTCCTTTCGGGTCCCGTTTTACATGGATTCATTTGTTTGTTTATTTATTTATATTTCTTACTGGGTACTGCACCCAGAGGTACTCTCCTAATGAGCTACATCCCCAGAACTTTTTATGTTTTATTTTGAGACAGGGTCTCACTGCATTACTCAGGCTAGCCTCAAACTTGCCATCCTCTTGCCTCAGCTTCTCAAGTAGATAACATTACAGACGTGAACCACCACACCCGCCCAGGCCTTGTTTTAAACATGGCTGCTTCTGAAGCAGTGATACACCCCTTATGGGGCTTATTGTCTAGGTTTTTGTGCTGCTCTGAACACTGAATAAGGATAAAACAGGCCAAAAGCTCATTGTTGTGTTGAAATTGCTAAGACCTGCACCCTGAACCCAGAATTGGAGCCCAGGGGGTGAAGCACTTATTTGCTCAAGGGATGAACTCACCCATGTGGGTGAGTTGAAGGTGAAGTTGGAGTTAGAGACGTGAGGATGGGGTGGACTGCTATCTCACCATTTGTAAAGCATGTATATTTACTGTCATCAATCTTACAGATCAGTCCCTGAGGACTTCCCTCGCCTGGATCCTCCACCTCCCATAACCAGGAAGCGAACCCCTAGGGCCCTGAAGACCACCCAGGACATGCTGATATCATCACAGCCCGTCCTAAGTAGTCTGGAGTATGGGACAGAGCTGTCACCTGGGCAGCCCCAGGACTCCCCTCTCACTGTCCAACCTGTCCCAGCAGATGCTTCACAGCTGGAGGCCACCATGGAARATAGGGACGAGGTTCTGCCCAATGGTGAAGTTTCCCTATCGGTTCCTGACCTAATTCACAAGGACAGCCAGGATGAATCTAAGTTAAAGGCAACTGAGCACAGAAGAGCCTCCTCCCCAGGCCTCGTTGAGAGGAATGGCCTCAAACTCAGCTTGAGCCCCATCAGCCTGGCCGAGTCCTGGGAGGACAGTAGCCCCCCTCCTCGGGCACGGACCTCCAGCCTTGACAATGAGGGCCCTCACCCAGACCTGCTGTCCTTTGAGTAGCCTGTGATCTTCCTCCAAGCACCCCTCTTCCCTCTGCTTTCTCTTCCACTGTGCCCAGGGGGCCCTGGCCCTAGCTCTACCATGCCCTTTGGTCTTCCTTGTACAAGGCACCTGCAAAAAGCTGATCTCCACACAAGTTGTTGCAGGGTTAAAAGTCCACAAGTAATTCTAGTCGAAGAGTCTATCTGCAGAATGGCAAAAGGACTCAGGTGCCATCCTTGATCCTAATTTCTGTAAGCTCCTCTGGGTGTTGATTGTAGCCCAGGGGTACTAGAGCTCTTTCACCCACAAGTTTGTTCCAGCTTCCTACCGAATTATAGGGCTACCAGCTCATCATCAGATGATGGATCTTGCAGGACTTTTCTGTCTCCCATATGCTGCCTGCTCTTCTTTATTATAGGGCTACCAGCTCATCATCAGATGATGGATCTTGCAGGACTTTTCTGTCTCCCATATGCTGCCTGCTCTTCTTCACCCAAGCCCTGGTTCCTCTCTCTCCTCCATCATGGCCCAGAGATCCCTATCTCAGGGGGCAACAAGGCTGGATGAGGAATGATGGGGTTGGCTTGATGATGGGGCCTGTCCTAGAAAGCCACACAACCTGACCGTAGCCCAGCCGTGGTTCCTCCTGGTTCCAAGAGAGTGCGGGGCCCCTGGTATCTTTCCTCTGTCCCAGGGGGCCAGAGGGGGTGCTTAACCTCTCACTCAGGGTTCTCAAGGTTTTTCCCATCCTTTAGGCACCTGGGAAGATGCTGGGGCTTCCTGTACAGAAATAACAGCCAGGCTTCCTTTGCTATGTGTGTGAAGACAGGGCTAGGCAGGCCCCAGAAGAAGAAGCAGCAGAGCATGTTTTGATTTTGGTTTGAGAGGAGAACCCAGGAGAGTAAGGGTGGTCCTACTAGAAAGGAGAGCAGAGGTGGTAGATAAGGGAGTGAAGCCAAGATAGAGAAGAGTGTGGTTGGGGATCAGAACAATTTTTCAGGGTCACCCCACAGCCTAGAATGAAACAGTCCCAGGGTCTCGGTAAGTGTGAGAGCCAGGGTGAAGCATGTGAGAGATTGGGATGCGATCCAAACTGTGGAGGCAAACCTCCTATTAAAACCAAGGTGCTTTGTGCTTTTGAAGTTGCCTGAGTCTCCTGTAGCACCAGGCCTCCCTGGAGGGGCCTCTGTCCTGCCCTTCCCTAGTTCTACCCTGATGCCAGGGATGGTCCTCTGCTCCCTCCTTCTGGATCCGTCTAAGGAACAGATAAGTATCCTCAAACCTTCACTTGTTCCTATCCTCCTGGGTTAACCCACTTTTGTATTCCTGTCTCCCACCAGGGGACCTATTGTACTGTCTTCCAAGGGCCAGGAGACCCTGCAGCGAGCTCAATCTTGGGGGTCTTTGCAGCAAGAAGATAACATCTCTCTCTTTCTCTCTCTTTTTTTGTTTTTTAACTAGGCAACCCGTATCTAAAGAGAAGAATGGGAATGGTAGGTCCAGCCAGGGCAGTCTGCCTCAGGCCTCTTCCTATCATTCCTGTGCCCTTCCCTTTTCCTTTCATTGTTTGACTTCTCACCCATGAGCTCTGGGATACCTAGGCCTGGCTTCCCAGTTGATTATCACCAAGCCTCTGCTCCTCTTCCTATCACCATATAATACATCCATGTTAGCTCCTACAGAACTGGAAGCTTCAGTGGGATTGCCGGCATGTGGGCACATTCTTGTTTCTACAACTGTACACCTTGTCTCCACCCTCTCACACCCTTCTCTTCTGCCTTCTTTTGCCCCAGAAAGCAAGGCTTTGCAACATACTCCCTGCAAAGTCCTTTTCCTTCCCTGCTTATGAGGGTCCGTGCAGCTGAGTGCCTGCAAGGACGTGGTAGAGTGAGCAGRGCTGTTAGCACACATGAAGGCCCTGCCTTACCCTAAGAACACCTTGGAAGTCAGAAATCCTCAGGACTAGCATTTGGTGTCCTGTGAGTTTTCCTAAAATGGTTCATAACATCAACCAAAACAGAACGGGGAACTTGGGGGCAGAGACTCTAAACACACACCAGGGAGTGAGCCCGGATTCATCTGAGCTCTCTGTGCAGGAAGCTTGGTTTGCCCCTCTGACAGGAAACTCAGCAAGTGCCTGCAGTCTGGAGCTGCTGCCCTCCAGGGATCGAGTAATGTGGTAACTGTAGTACAAACAGTTCCAGCCCCCACTTGCTTAAGTACTTGTCTCCATTCCAGCTGCTGCTGGAGTCCTGGCCCTCAGGCCCAGGATTAGCTACGGGATCCCACCAGGTTGTTCCAGGACCATCACAGGATGACTCCAGGCTTCTTCAGATTTGTGTCTGATACTGAGTAAGGTGCCATGGGACCCTGTGCCAATCCCTGGCTGCCTACAGCTCAGCCATTCCTCTGCTCTAGGGGTGACACTGCTACCTATGAGGCCCTCGAAGATTGAACCTTGTCTTAGACATGGTTGCTCCAGGCTAGGTGTTATCTAGAACCAGTAGGAACAACTTAACTACTAATCCTGCTGAGGGTTTTTTCTCTGGCCAACTCTTCCAGCCAAAGCCCCTCCTGGTTTCCTGTCCATCTCCAGTCTCACCTTCCTGGATTATAGCATGGCAGCCCCACTACCATAAATCTATCCTCGTGAGTCCAATGGAGCTTGGCTTAGGGCAACCCAGTCCACCCTGTGAGGGCAAGGTACTGGGGAGGAATGAAGGGCTATCTTCTATATTTGCAAAAGGAAGTTTCTCCCCAGTTCTGTTTATAACTTCATCCTGATCACAAATGAGCTTCCCAAACCTGGCAGGATGGTGTTCCCCTCCTGCACAAAGAGAAACATCTCTGAATATTATGTATGTAGACGACATGAAGACATATGTTCATAGCCCATCGGCTTTGAAAAAAAGTTTGGCCCTAGTTTGGAAGAGGAAGAAGATTATAGATCTATTCTGAGTATTTTTAGAGAGTTCATATTTATATTTTTAGAGATTTTTCTGGTAGAAGGAAATTGCACAATAAAAGAATTCAGTTTGGTTTGCTGGCTTTGTTTTTTGCCTCTTGACTAATGGGGAGTAGTGGGTTCCAGGAGGCCGACTAGTCAGGTGGAGAACATTGGCACTTTGTTTCATGAGACTGAAAGAGTAAGGAATACAGAAATGTGGGGAAGATGGCGTCTACTGATGAACCTCCAACCTGAGTCCCTTGGGCGGGACAATTTCTTAGGATATGCCATCATCTGTGTCCATGACTGGCTGGCTACTGTGAATGTCCAGACACATGACTGCTTCCAGGGCATCTGCATGATGCATATGGGTAAGTCCCTCCTTGAGAGGAAGCTGAAAAGAAATGCAAATGACCATAAGATCATTCTCCAGGTCACTGGTTCTCAATCTAGGGTCCACACCCTACTTCCAACCAAGAATGGGCTGAAGTGTGTGTGTGTGTGTGTGTGTGTGTGTACATTCTCAAAAGGAGTCATCAGTAAATGACAGCAAAATACCCAGAGCTGTGAACTTAGGCACTTCAGGAAATTGCTCTGGAGGGTCCTCTGGACTGGGACTGCCTTGGTGTTGATCTATGGAGAGAATGTGGCTTGGACAAGAGCTGGTCTAAGCCCCTTCATTTCATCTCCACACCTCAGCCTGTGTCAGATCCAAGGACCCAGAGACTTCACCCTGGAGAACTGGCCAGGACTTGAGATTTCTTAAAAGGAAGAAAGTGGAAAAGAAGCAGGAGTAGAAAGGGGTTTTAGTCTGTTCGCAGAAGCCACAGATATTTCCAAAGACAAAAAGATGGGCATTTCTGCCCTGCCATCTCATTTTCTGCCATGACATTGCTATGAGTTGAATCCTACAGTTCAGCCTAAAGTGGGGGGGGGGGTCCCCTAGCTCCTTGTCAGGAGTGTCTGTAGCATAAAGACTGTACCTGGTCTTTCTGCATCCAATTCTACTCCTATGCCTTATTTCTTAGAGGAGGTACAAGAGAGAAAAAAAAAAATGGGCTTTCCAAACTCAACTTCTTGACAGTAGGCTCCAGCATACAGTTCAGAGAAAACAGGAGTAACACAAAAACCAATCCAGCATATTCCATCCATGGAAAAGGCACTGAAAATCCTGACAATAGCAGCGTTTTTCCTGGAGCATGTGTTCCAGGGATGATTCTTTAGGTGACCTCTTCAATTCTACTCCTATACCTTGTGTCTTAGAGGTTTTTGGGATTTACTTCTGTGTTCACTCAGGTGTGGAATGTACTTTTAGCATGCCTTCCTTTCCCTCCATTATGGAAAGTTATTTTTGGCAAAGGTCACATATGCATAATTAGGAAAAAAAAAATATTTAAAGGAAAATTTTAAGTATAAAAATGAATGTGAATATGCCGGGTGCTGCCGTGCCTGCCTGTAATCCCAGAGGCTCAGGAGGCTGAGGTAGGAGGATAGTCAGTTCAAAGCCAGCCTCAGCAATAGTGAGGTGCTAAGCAACTCAGTGAGACCCTGTCTCTAAATAAAATATGAAATAAGACTGGGGATGTGGCTCAGTGGTTTTTGTTTTTTGCCCTAGTACCAACAACAACAACAAAATGTTGTCAGTGCTATGCTCTAAGCGGGTCTAGAAGCTGGGAAACAAAGATGCATTTATTCAAACAGTTTATCCAAGCCCCTGTCTACCATGAGGTAAATGTTGTCCAGGACCTTGCAGTGTCATTGGTGGGAACTAATAGTAAATGGACTTCTTACCTCTCCTGGAAAACTTCATAAGTGCACATGGCATTTAATGTCCTTCATCTCCCAAGGAAGTCTACTCTGGAAGCTTCAAGTTGTCCAGTGGAAGCATCATGGAGCACTTTACCCCTCTAGGATGCCCTTCTCCCTGTTGCCATTTTCTCTGGGGGCGTGTGATGAAAGCCCTGAGTGCCCACCACTAACTTCCTACTAATGAGAAAATTCCTCTGCTTTCTGTATCCAAGGACCGACCCTCCTGAGACACAAATCCTCTTTGTGTCCAGCTTATCTCCAGCTGCTGCCATGATAAATAGTCTGGCTCAAGGGAGCCTGGGTACATTCGACCCCCATGAAACTTGGTTATTAACACAGACGGGGAAACAAGCCTGAAGAAATATTTAAGGACCAACTCACACGCACCGGGCTCCATTCTCTCTCATGGGAGCTGCCTGAGGAATCTGTCAATTATATAAAGCAGGAAATTTTGCCAGTGTTTTTCCTTTGTAATAGATTAAAAAAAGAAAGAAAGAAAACGAAAACCCAAACAAAAAGCAAGCTTCTAACAAACTGTACCCTGTTTTTTTTTCTTGTTGTTTTTTTTTTAACTGTGTTTTTAACTGTGTCATCTGTTCCTAGTACCATC